AGACAATACATCCTTAATAATTGGACCACTCAAGTTAAAACTTTCTCGATGGCTCGAACCTTCTTTTGAGTTCTCAGGTTGGTTAGTAAATACCTCAACCGAACCATGAACTTCGTTTGTGACTTTTTTAGTTTTAATATTAACAACACCACCCATGGCACCTGAGCCATAACGAGCAGCCGCTGGACCACGCAATACTTCAATAGATTCAATCGCATCTGCAGGCACCCAGTTTGAGTCACCGCGGGTATCACGTTCCCCTCTCCAGCCATAACGCACAGAATTTCTCGAATTCACAGGCTTACCATCAACCAAAATCAAGGTATTTTCTGGCCCCATACCGCGAATATCAATTTGGCGGTTATTACCACGTTGTCCCGTTGCACTATTGCCTGTTAAATTTACGCCAGGCATCCGACGTACATATTCAGAAATATCATTTACAACAGGTAATTTTTCTAAATCTTTATCCGTAATAATAGATGCGCCTAGAGACTGCTTAACCTGTTCCTCAGCCGTTAATACAATCGTTTGTAATTGTGTTGTATCTTTTTCTGCCCCAGTAGTCAGCGATTCATTCGCCATCGCAAATGAACTCATTGCCCCTACAACAGCCAAAGCCAAAGTTGATCTCGTCAGATTTTTACCCATAACGCATACACCCAAATACAAAAGAAGGAGAGATTGTGTAAATTTCGTAGGGCATTTTAACAAACGATAAACATATTGCAATAAATATTGATAATTATTCTCAGTTATATTTTACCTTTAGATAAAATATAACCCCCTAATTTAAGGAGGTTATTTGGTAAAATGGTTTAAAAATTATTTGAAGTACGCGCCTTCTGCCTGCGTATGATCCGTCTGGTCGATAACACGACGTAACTCAGGAATGTGTTGTTGCAGAGTCGTTTCAACACCCTGTTTCAACGTGACATCAATTGCTGAACAACCTTGGCAACCACCACCGAATTTCAGTACAGCCGTTAAACCATGCTCTTCATCTTCAACAACTTCAACCAATGCACAGTTACCACCATGTCCTGCTAGACCAGGGTTAATTTCAGACTGAAGAATATAAGTAATACGCTCTTCAATCGATGCATCAGGACCGACGCGTGGCACTTTCGAATTTGGTGCACGGAATGTCAACTGCCCACCAAAACGGTCTTTGTTGTAATCAATCACCGCATCTAATAAATATGGAATAGACGGTGTCTCGATATACGCAGGAAAGTCTGGATAATCTTGACGGTAATCGGTTGGGATCACTTCTTCAGGCGCGCTATATGCCATACAACATTCAGCACGTGGTGTACCCGGATTTTCAACAAATACACGTACAGCAATGCCCGGTGTATTTTGTTTTTCTAATAAATCACGTAAATACTCTTGTGCAGTCGGAGTAATCAATAAGTTTGGAATTTCCTCTGCAACTGCAGTGCTGCTGTTCTCAGTCGACATAACAATCATTTCCTCAAGCTGAAGTTGCTATTTTAACTGAAGATGCGGGGTAATTAAAAAAAATCAACCAAAATTGTCGGATTTATTGTGAAAGTTCATCTTTTCGCTCAATTTAATGGCATTATGACCACAAGATAGTTATATGCAGAACATCTCAGAAATGTTGGATTTACCTTTTAATCATACAGTTACGATCATTATTATTACTGTCATTATTTCTATGATGGCATTTTCAAATCAGAACGTGATGAACCGTCTGATTTTCTGGCCTCCTGCAATGCAACGCGGACAATACGATCGTTTTATTACACATGGCTTTATTCATGCCGATGGTATGCATCTCCTGTTCAATATGTTCACCTTGTTTTTCTTTGGCAGCATTATTGAAAGTTTTTATCGCCAATACTTCTATGAGTTAGGCTTTATTTTGTTTTATCTGGGTGGTTTAATTTTTGCCATTTTACCAAGTTATTTAAAACATAAGAATGATGTGCGCTGGGCAAGCCTTGGTGCTTCTGGTGCAGTCTCTGCGGTATTGTTCGCTTATGTGTTGTTTGAACCTTGGAAGTTGATTTTTGTATTTTTTATTCCAGTGCCTGCAATTATTTTTGCAGTGTTATACGTGGCGTATAGCATCTGGTCTGGTAAAAAAGGGAACTCCAACATCAATCATAGCGCCCACCTTTGGGGAGCTGCTTATGGGGTCATCATGACCTTAATTTTAGAGCCACGTCTTATCCCACACTTTCTGAACAAATTAACCCAGTTACCTTTTTAAAGCTGAGCCGTAGTTTGCAAATGGATTGCATCCGTACGCATATAGGCTCTGTAACATTTTTTCACAGCAACGGGTGCTCCTGATTTTTACAATAAACATCAGGACAACTATAAACCAAGGAAATTGCGATGAAAATAATGTCTATATTGGCAACACTGATGGTGGGCTTAAGTTTAACAGCCTGTGCGGTACACACACCTGAGGGGAGTATTGTTGTTGATCCACATGGTTCTTATTACCCCGATGGTCATGGGGACTTTTGCCCACCCGGACAGGCCAAAAAAGGTCGCTGCTAACTCAAAAGCCTTCTGTTCAGAAGGCTTTTTTATTACATATATTTTTACATAAATTTGGCATGAAATGCCAAGCAGGAATTTGATTTGGCATAGATAATGTTTACAACTGTATATAAATAGCAAATGCCAGTGAGATTTCTTGCATGTCCAATCCCTTAGATGGTCTTCAATTTCCAACTTACCCTAAAACACAAAAAATTAGTACCTCACG